CGTTTCAAGCCTCTAAGTCGAAAAGGTGCTCAAAGTCATTGTTTCCATGCGCTCTGCTCTTTTCTTTTTTAAACTGTGATTCTATAGACGAGGCTGCTGCTACTGCGAGTTTGTACGTGTAAGGCATCATCTAAGTACTATTTGATGAACGCCTGGGTCGAATATTCAGGGAATTGGATTCCATCTTACTCAGCTTTTTTCTGACTGGTGCAAATGAAGAATCTCATCCATATAAAAGAACTAGTGTAAAGACGCCTCTCTTCCCCCCACGGAAGAAAGTTTACATTATTAACATATTGAATAGATTTAATATTTAAATTGAAACTTAATATGATTTTGAACAGAATTTCACATTATAGATATCAGGTGGGAGGCTATCTATTTTTGTTTTTCCCCAAGTAATGTTATAATTCCGAAGAAAAGTTCAGTCAACTAAAAGAGATGGAGAAACAGGTAAGTTATTAGCATTAGACTTAAATGATGATGATCAGCAGCCAATGATAGAATCATTCGGAGCAATAAAATTTTCTGGTACCCGAACGTTTGGGCACCAGAGCACTCCAATTGGAGTTGGACCTTGCTATGTACTTTGTGGTTGAATTTCAATGTTTTCATTATTTTTTTGGGGTTGCTATGATTCTGGTGTTCGTATCACTTCGACAGTAGAATCTTTTACCTAGGGATTTCCTTACTATCAGAATTTTGCTGCTGATGTCCATTAAATGTTTAGCATTCATATATTTGACAGATTCGATTACGTAATTCTGATCTTTGTATTGTAGCTAAAATTGATGATTCTGAACGGCTTCGCCCAGAAGAATTAAATCAGCAAAACATAGAGGCTTTAGTTGCCGAAAACAATCTGGTATGAGCTGTTGTCTTCCTCCTTTCCTTTTCACTGCATGTATTCCCGTATATCATGCCATCTTGTACATCTCACCCAGTGGAACACTAGATTGTTTATATACATAATAGAGTTTGTTAGTTTCTTGCAAATAAACAGTTCCACAAGTTGCTCAGAAACATACACTTTAACTGACTTCTGGCAAAACATTTTCAGTGAAAAACAGAATGTGATTTGCAAATAGCAACCACCAAATTCTAAGGCATTGCTGCAAGTTTCATAAGCATGGCTCCTTTCTCTTTTTTGCTTGCATAAGCAAGGATTTAGTAATTCCCAAATATGATTTCCGTTTTGGATTACTGGTAATATGGAAGTCATGTAACAAATTTTGAAAATGATAATGGAATTACTTATAGCATGTACATTTTATTTTAAGGTTAAAAGTTAAAACCCTCATGGTGATATTTAATCATGCAGAAAATGGAGATCCTTCCTGTCAATGATTTGGATGTTGCATTACATAATTTTGTTAGTAAGGATGACAAGATGGCTTTCTATTCTTGCCTGAAATACAATCTTGAAGAAACTCGAGTAAGTACATTTTAAACCTAGCTTGTGTAGATCGAGTGATCTTTTCCTTTTGTTTTCAAATGATTACTTCCTGCTATGTTTAAAATGTCATATACTTATTTTCTTTTGGATTTTGCTAATGATAATTCACTTTTATAATTCTACAGAACAAAATTTCTAAGGATCCAGACACTGTGACATTTAAAGAGCAAGATTTGGTCCTTAAAGTTGGAGAGTGCTTGCAGGCAAGAATAACTACTTTCTATATATTTTTCTATCATCAAGTTAGTGGTAAAGTAATACCTGTTCTAGTCAGAGTTTCATGGACAATTATGTTGGGTCCTTAGGGATTGTCATTGGGGTTGAAATGAGGCAGTTAGTTCCAAAATGTGTAGTTAGTCTCTTGAGACCTCTTACACTAACGTCATTTAGGTCTATGGCTTTAGTTGTTAGATGTGGGAAAAGCATATATACGTGATTCAAAAGGTTGGGAATTTATTGGTAATAAAAGGAACTATTTTCAATATAAAAGAAAATAAACATAAAAGTCTGGGAATTTGGGGTTTCTAGGTTCGGTAAAAGAAGGAGTTTATAGATGAGAAGACAAACAATACATTCTTCTCTCAACCTGTTGTGGCCTAAGCATCACAAGGGCAATTAAGGAGGGGTTACTTCCAATTGACATTGACCATAATTTATATTATATCGTTTACATGTGCAGGAACGTGTCAAGGAAAGGTCTGCACACTCTAAGAATAATTCTCCATTCACCTCAACTGCTCCATCTGGGGAGGTAATTCTGATTTTAGTCTGCTTCTGTGAATCACATCAGTTATCCCATGTAGCTTCCATTTTAGAATCTTTTGGGTTCATACATGTGCCGAATATCTACATTTTAAGCTTCCGTTCTTCATGTAGGATTTCAGAAGTACAAGTGCTGCAGGAACTGCAAGTGCAGTTTCCTTCAGTGATGATGAAGATACAACACAGATGACGGGCTTAAAATCCACTTCCAGAGGCCGCAAGGGCCCATCCAAGCCGTCTTCTTCAGAAGTTGGCAAAGGTAAAACTTCTACAAGAGGAAGGGGAAGGGGTAGGGGTAGGGGCTCCAGTAACTTGAAGCAGACGACTCTCGATGCATCTCTTGGATTCCGGCAGTCTCAGAGGTTTTTCTTTGACCCAAATTTGAGGAAATGTTTAATCAATTGAGAGGCCCCTTCATTTTAAAATGTAAATTATAAATAAAATTCAGAGTTATTTACACAAACACCCCCTGAGGTTTTTCGTGTTTTCACATACTCCCTGAGGTCCTAGAAATTACACAAACACCCCCTTAGGTTTCAAAATGGTTTCACATAAGTCCATAAATTCAAAAAAACCTAAAAATTGATGGTAAAGGACTTCTGCAAATACTAAAATACGCTTCATGGTATTAGAATATTAATTCCTACTCATTATTACAATAAAAATAAAAATAAAGAAAAAAATCCTACAAATCAGATGCATCGTACACATCCCACACCAAGAAAAAAAATGCTTCATCTCCTCCAGATCTTCTAAATCTCTTAGAAGATGCAGAGATAAATGCGATGGAGGCGTCCTCTTTTTATTTTTATAATAAAATTAAAAAATATTCTAATACCATGAAGGGTATTTAGTATTTGCAGAAGTCCTTTTCCATCCATTTTTAGGTTTTTTTTTGTTTTAAAATTTTTTTTACAATTTTTTAATTTAAGGAGTCATGTGAAACCATTTTGAAACCTGAGGGGGTGTTTATGTAATTTATAGGACCTCAGGGTGTTATGTGAAAAATGAAAAACCTGAGGGGGGTGTTAGTGTAAATAACTCACAAAATTCATTAGCTTTATAGGTGTAAGCAAGAAACATATGTAGGAACAAATTAGCAGTAAAATCTGATCCTCCCACCTTTCTCTGTCTTGTCTCTGTCTCTGTCTGCGTGTGTGAGTTGTGGTATGTGTTATTATTCTCACTGGTTTTCAACATTAATGTCTAGCACAAAAAGCAAGTAGAAAACAAAAAGAAGCAGTTGAGATGAAAAAGAACTAATATCAAATCCCGAGAACACACCTAATGCCCTCTTCTTACTAAGAAATCAACTCTGGTTGAAGACTTGAGTTAGAGGAGTATTCTAAGTAGTTAACTGCATGCAGTTGAAGTCTGCTAATATGTTGAGACATTCATGTTCCCACGTAGTCAAGTGTCTTACCTAATATAGTTACTGCAGATCTGCATCAGTTGCTGCAACTGCTGCTGTCCGAAGTATTGCCAATGATGGGGATGATGTGGATTCTCCTTCAAGTGAAGAGTCAGGGAAATTTGGAAATGATGAGGTGGATAACAGTTCGGTATGGATTACCTTCCTGCTCAACTGGATTTTGCCATTAAATCAGTGCTAGCTAAAGAAAAGTTGAACATGCTGTTCTTTTCTATGTTATACTGCCAATTTACTGTGGAACAGTCTCTTTCATATGATGTTTTCCAAGTCCAGCAGCACACTACCCCCTTTTGCCTTGAATGAGCCATTATATATTTTTGCACGTACACGTTCCATCAACAGAATCAATGTGGTTTATAATATTCTTTTGATAAGACAATGTTGTTTCTATTGTTGAAGGAAAATGATGAAAGTCTTAAGAGTAGAGGACGGAAAAGGGCTGCTCCAAGGGGGAGAGGTAGAGGCTCTACACAACCCTCTAAGCGTGGAAAGAAATCCGATAACTCTGCAATTAACCGAATGTTTATGAACAAAGATGATGAAGATGGCGATGATGAGGATCTGACAAAGAGATTTAATAAACCTGTGCCTCGGGTTGTTCTTTCTTTCTTCTATTTATTTACCTGTATTGTTAAAAATCATTGTGAAATATACTACTGCCAGTTTGGGTAGTTCAGAACAATTCTAGTTTTTATTCTTGTGAGATTTGTAACTGGTCCTGACTTTTTCCTTCTTCCTGTTTTGTAGGTCACAAGAAACTATGGCAATCTAAGAAGGTAAAAATCAGTTAAGCTAACCCGTTGCTTTGACAAGGTAGGTCAACTTGGTGTCCTGGTCTCCACCTCATGTATCTCCATTCTGGTGCATAATGACATACACAAAGTCATAGGAGCTAAATAGTACAGAGCTGGGACGAAGACAATCCTTTAATAGAAGCTTATGCTTGAAGTCTACGGTCAAGCAGTTTGACCATGTTCCTAGCGGTGAGGTGCAATTGTAGAATGTAATTTGATTGTTGGAAGAGTGGATGCCCACTTCTGTTGATCTTGTGACTGTATGGGTATCCCTTGAGTGATACATGATGTGAGGCAGCTTAAATTTTTTTTGGGTGTATTGAGGTTACCATAATTTTTTTCAGCGGGTTTCCGAAATTAGGGTTCTTAAGTAAGTTCTGATGGAAATCGTTTAATTGCTAAATTTGTTTCAGTCAATACTCTTTCAATAATACCCTTGTGGTTAGCGCCACTCCCAAAAACAAAAAAAAACCAACCAAAAAAAAAAAAAAAAAAAAAAATCATAACGGGGGCAAAAATATGTAACGCCTCAAAGCTGTGCACATAAGAAAACCAATAACGGCAATCAGAAGAAATTTCATAGAAATACTGAAGGATTCTCCCAGTGAGAGAAATTGTCTACAAAGTTTAATTCCATATGAACCAAAACGTACAGCCAAAATCTTGAAAAATAAGCGGGGGCAAAACTTTGTTTCACTCTGTTTCCTCCAGTGTTAGAAATGATGTTAGGTTTAACACTATACATACAGGTCCGTTAGGCTGCACTGGTCTCTCATCTGAAATGGGGCCTCTTGGGAACGTCCTTCACGCTTACAAAAGGGCTCTGACCACTGAATTTTTCCTGCTCAAAAGAAGTTCAACAACTTAAGATTTTAAGTGAAAATGTCTTAAAATTAGTACAGAATCCCCTAACAGAATTATGAACCTGCAATTCATCAGCAATACACTAAGATAACTAAAGGGACATCATATTGTGATTATGGAACATAAATATAATTAGAGAAATCTACTGCCCAAGACATGATGCTCAATCTATATTGTAGCACATACAAAAGTCCAATGAGGTTTGTCTAACTGAAAATAAATAGTAAGGATGGTAAATATAGAGAGGAGGAAACTGTGGATACTTCCATGTTGGGAAGGAGTTGGACCTTCAAAACCCGGCTATGGAATCTCTAAGGTATTGGAAAGAGATTGTTTAGTATCAAGTACCCATCAGTTCTAAAACTTGTTTTGCTGTTTTGCTACTTTCAAGTTGGGAAGAAAAATGGGATAGAAATAGTTTTCTCAATCTTCTCAAAAGCTACAATATCTATCCTTCAATCCCATTAAAAGGAAATAAAATGAGAGACCCCAAACACTAACTGTCTACAACACCACTTCAACCTCCACTAGACAAGGTTAGCCCTAATGAAATGTATAGTTTCAGCTGTAGAAACAACAATAAATCTCCAAAATCCCTCCACTCTGACACAACACTCAGAAACACTGCCTCATCTGACATACCACTCAACATGTTCATTGGCCAATTCAACCTAGGACATGAAAGAATAATCTTTTCAACTCTTATTTTTAGTAGAAATTGTCTTAAGGAAAGAGAGTTTCGACGAGATATGTTTCCCTATATTAGTGCATTATCATCCTGTTAGGCTACTCATCATCTGAATTCTCTCAGCAGTTCAACACCTTTCTATATGCTACTTACTGTCAAATCAAGGTTGACAAATCAATTACTTGCCATACTAGCTTATCTCCTTGGAGAGCTGAAAATCGACTTATTTTTTGAACACTGAAAGTCAAAAGAGTTGCTTTTACTCTGGTGGCTATATGTACAGAGAAAGCTGAAACTTTTTTTCCTTTTCGACAAAGGAAAAAAGATAACAAGGAACCAATCAATTGACTATTAACTTATATGTACCTTTCCAGCCAGTCCTGTTCTGTCATTCCTCTGCAGAATGCTCTCTTTAGTCCCTTTCGGACTCCAAACCATGGTTACAGCAGCAATGTCTTTGCTATTGCCTTTCTGACTCCCAACGATTCTCCTTTTCACATTCTCTTTTCCAGAGGCAGCCAATCTGTTAGATCTACCAACTACTGCTTTCTCCTTAGATTTTACAGTAGTAGTAATTGACTTCTTTTCATGAACTCCAACTGGCTCCAAAGGTTTCCTTCTGAAAGTTTGATATTGAGCCTACACAATCAGTATGATTCATGTTAATATTAATCTTGTGGTCCATCACTACATATTATGAAGCAAGATCAAAATCAGTAGGAATTACAAATAAATTGCAACTGAACCATGAGCAAATACAGGGGCCCTAAAAATGCTCTTCTGAAGTTTTTTTTCAGGGGGTGGGGGGTTGGTGGGAGAGGGGAGGAGATTGGGTTTAATAACATCACTCAGTTTAGAAAACTAGATTACCCCTTTTTTTCTGCCAGTATCTGGATTACACAAATTTGAACACCAGTATTAATAAGAAAACCTTGAACAGCAGTTAATTTCAGCAGTCAAAGTCAAAATATGAGTAACCAACAATCAGTTAAGGATCACCCTTGAATAACCTTGCAGCCAAACAAAACCAAGAGAGTAGCTTTGACGAGGATATTTTGAACACCCACAACCAAATTGAGACATGTGCTAAAACACCAAGAACAAAAAGCAACAAGATCTGATTGCAAGGGAGAATGAATTTCTTGTGAGGACCATGATTGGAAAGACAGAAAGAATAAAATCTTTTTGACAATTAGTGAAGATGTCGAAGACGATAATGCATAAACCAAGCATATGACAGTAAAAGATGATGACAAATGACAATGAAACCAACAAGAGAAACAATGAACCCAAAAAAGAAAAAAGAAACCCTCTAGAGAACAAAATGAAAAGATGTGGTGAAGCCATTAAACGGATCTCTTTAAGAAGACCACATCTCAGAACTGATGCTTTGATAGCATGCTGAGAAAATAGGGAGAGAATGAGATACATTAATCTCAGCCCTAGAAGAGTTTAGATAGATTGCAGTCCTGGACTTAATGGGAAACTGAACAACAACCTAATCAATAAGTTTAGGAAACTAGTTCACACACCTATTAACTAAATATTCTAATAGACCTAGAAGCTAAGCTACAATATACTTCTATGCTCCAACATGTATAGTAAGGTTAGTTAGACTAGTCTCTTACACAAGTGGGAACCTATTTCAGATATCCGTACGTCATCTTTAAGTGAACCATGGCTTAGAATTTTTCAACTTAAGAAAACACGAAAATCTTCACTGTCTGTGTTTCAGATTAGTACAACTCACACCTTCGGTTTTGCAGCTTCCAGGTGGACTGGCTTTGCAACATTAGGTGCCATTCTGTACTTTGTAGTCCCTCGATCAATCTTATGAGTTGTCTTGGATACTTTAGAAGATTTTATTCTGTTATTGGATGAATGAGTCATTCTTGCCACATTTCTGCTATCTGGGGTTCTTTCTTTGTACTGTATTGACGTAGATGCTGAGGTCCTGCCATCATTACAAGGATTTGAAGATGATCCCACACTAGACTTGCTGGATGAAGATTTACGGCCTCTTGATTGCCTTCTATCACCATTAATCTCCACTCTGGATGCTGGCCTTGTAACACCGCTTTTCCTCAGACGAGCCTTTATGACTGACAATAGCCCATTTGCTTGACTCAACGCTTGATTTGATTTCTCCATAAACTTCTGTTGTTTCTGCTGGCCACTCTCAGATGTAATGGTGCTTGTTGTACTGCTTTCATCTGCCCTGTTTGTCATAGAACTCAGAGTACATGTTGGATCCTCACAAGAAGATATTGGCTTAGAGCAATTGGGTATGGGATTTCCAAAGAAACTGCTTTTACAAACTGAACTTGATTTGGAACTCGATGTTCCTTTCAAATGTATAAAGCTTGATTTGGGTTTCATCTCATCACTGGACCCTGAATTCCCGCAGGAAGATGTCCCACTCAGAACTTTTTCCGGGTTCCACTTATCTAATGAAAAATCCTGGTTTTCCCCTATCCATTTCTTGTTTACAAAGTCTTTGCCTCTTGACTTAGAGACAGAAGAGGGAAGTTTTGGCGAAGATGGTCCCTCTAAGTCATAGTTTAAGGCCATACTATCCTCACCAGAATTGGAAAATGCAGCCTTCAACTGGCGAGAAGAGCATTGGTGGAACCTAATAATTCATCAAATTACTATAACTCAGCATCCGTATTCAAAGACATGAATTCCAAAACCAAAATAGAGAAGACCACATAATCAAAGGGGCAAAGGATACTTACAGGTGGCTTCTGTAAAACCACTCATCATCACTGCAACATATTCAAAAAGGAAGAATTAAAATTGGCATGGCATACATAGGTTATAAATTATAAGATCCTGGAAACCATTTCGTTCGTTAAAAAGGAAAAAAAATGTGTGGGCTGAGTATACTAGAACCTACATATGTTGGTTGTTTGAGTTGGATTCTAATGTAAGATCCACCCACATAGGAGCTTCAATTTCTTCCTGTATCAATCAGACAAAAGAAGAAGTAAATATCAAGTAAACTCGAGGCCCAGAAAAATGGCAAGAAATTGAAGAGATTGCAAGTTTATCTTGATTCTTGACATAATAATGGGGTTATAGAGATTTAAAACGCTAAATCCTTTTCTATTCCCACATTTGTAAACAGAGAACCAGAACGAAATCAACTCTGAATTGATAGCCGAGCATAGATGCAGAAAGAAAACTATGAATAGCTAAATCAAAGCAAGCATAATCAGAAGATGCACCTTCAGAGTTGATTAAGATAAGTTGCTAGCAAATACAGAATAAGAAATAGATATAGAAGGGTAAACATGAACACTAATAAAGAATGCAACATCCAATATGAAAATTTGGAAATAAATAAGTAAATACTAAAGCCCAAAAAAATCCAAAAATCCAAAATCCCAGAAAATGAAAACAATGATAAACTCAAATGAACCCAGAAATGACACTAAAGATATAATATTCATATTCAAGAACCCCAAGAAGAGGACCAACATTTCAAGCAAACCAGATTACTAAATTCAATAAATCCAATATCATTTGGGAAGAAAAATTAAACAAAGACAAATAAAACCTAAGCTTAAAAACACAAGAACCCAAATTCCTAAACCAGAAAAACCATTAATACCGACATAGAAGAAGAGAACAAGTTCAAGAAAGATGAAATCTTTACCAGAAAAGCCCAGTGATCGTTGCTTTTCTTCAAAACCATATTCTTTGTCATCTTCAACCTCCTTGTGTCACGCTAAGAAAGCTCCAAATGGCTCAGACGAATGGGCTTCTATCATCAATCCTCCATCTTCTTCTATTTGGCTATTTGGGAAGGAATTGTAGGATGTTTCAGCTTTCACGGCTGCGAACCGAACGACGTCGTTTCTGCATGGACGGCTGAGATTAATCAACAGAGCCCGGGATGGGAAATGTTATGTGTTGTTCTGAATGGCGATGGCGAGCTCAATCCTTTTGACCGTTGGCGTGATTCAAATTTGATCCAGAAAAAAAAAAAAAAAAAAAATCATTTTCTTGTTATTACCGAATGGTCAAATTTGTCTCTGAAAGGCAAGTCTCAAAATCACACGTTTGTTTGTTAGAGAGTTGGGATGGAAAATTAAGAAAAACTATTGGGCCTTTCTCATACTGTACACTTCTAATTATCATATTATTTGCTGTTACTTTTAAAAGAAAGTTGCTTATATTGTGCTTTGAAAAACATTAGCTGTAAAGAAAAGCACCTTCATGTTTAGTAAATAATTTTTTTAAAGTGCTCTTAGTATAAAAAGTAGTGTCAAAACTGTTTGGTAAATTTTAATATAAAACTGTTGCAAATGTGAATAATGATTAAAATAGACATGATATTGAAAGTGTTATGCACTAATCATGTGGTGGTAATGGTGGTGGTGGTGGTAGAGGCGGTTTATAAAATGCGGTCTCAATATTGCCACTGAAACAAAACTTTTTACCTACCAAAGGTTCGGAACAATACGTAATGCATTTTGTGGGATTTTTTTACGTACGTATGCTTTGTTTGGAGGACTGACTTGCTATGACTATTCCAATTAAATTGGACTAGTCTCTCGGCTATTGTGTGGTGCACCAATAACTGTTGTGGACTAGGGCATCAGGATTGGAAAACCGGAACACCAAATCGGACTGGATGAAAAAAACCGAAAAAAAATCAATTGACTAAAAAAGTCAACAAATCAGCATCGAACTGGACAAGATTGATTCCAACTGGTTTCGAAGGTTTTTCACACCACCAAACCGGACCGGTTGTGTATAATTTTTTTTTTTTACAAAATTATATTAACTCTAATGCTACATTTTTAATCTAATAACTAATATTTCCCCAAGCCCAACTTCAAAACATCTCTCTTTTTTATGAAATTGGATCATTTGTTAATTTTCAAGTCCAAAAAAAAATTAAATTTTAGTTTGAATTTGTATAAATAAATAAAAAGTTTCAAAAAAAAAAATTCTGGTCCAAAATTGGATCAGAATCGGTTCAAATCGGACTAGTCGATTTCAAAAAAAAAAATTCACTAAAATCAGACCGAATCAAACCGATTAAATAGTATCAATTCCAGTTCCAGTTTGAGGTGAAAACCAGATCGAACCGGACCGTGCCCACCCTTAGTATAATGTAATAAGGCCCAATTGTCTCTAAACTGAAGTTTTTTAAACTTGTTTTAATAAAGAGTATAGCCACCCATCTATACTCTTTAAATAAAATATAATTAGTTAGTATAGCCGATAATATAATTAATTAGTATAGCGATGTAGCTATACTGGCTTCTAATTTTTTCTAATAAATAGTATAGCGGTGCAGCTATACTGGGTTCTTTATTTTTAAATTTGTTTTCTTGAATTTCATTTAGTGATAAGAGTAGTTTAGAAAATACATATTTTTTTAAAAGCAAATGTATAATATATGTATGTAGGTAGGTTTCATGTCTAATACACATGTTTTTATTTTATTTTATAGAATTTGAAATTTCAAACAAAGATTTATGGGTATAGTAGTAAGAGAGAATGTAGTATTCTTCATGTAACGTGTTGTTTGAAAACTGAAGCATAAGCAAAAGCATCATGCCATGTCCTAAAATCCTATGTGCTGTATCAAATACAAAATGCTTCTCTACACGTCTTTAACATATGAATGCATCCTTCAACATATAAAATACTATTATAATTAAATAGTATAGCATACGAATTCAACTCTCAAATTGATTTAGTGTCAAATTTCTCTCTCAAATTGATTTACTATGAAATTTCTCTCTTCAATATTTGCTTTGGAGATGTCGAAACTAGCAATATCTATAAAGTATAAACTAATGCAACTAGAAGGGTATTGTTCTTTTATTTTTATTTTTTAATAAATGGTATAGCCGTGCGGCTATGCTCCTTTTAAATATAATATACTTAAAGCGTACAACCGAGCGGCTATACTATTTTTTAATAATAAAAAACAGTAGTATAGCCGAGCGGCTATACAATTATAAAAAAATAGAAAAAAACCAAGTATAGCCGCCTGGCTATACTATTTAAAAAACCAAAAAAACCTCCTAGTGTGTCAAAATAAGTATAGCCATGCGGCTATACACTTAAAATACCTTATATTTAAATGGTATAGCCGCCCGGCTATACTATTTAATATAAAAAAAAATTAAGACAAAAGGACCCTCCTAGTTGCATTAGTTTATACTTTATAGATATTAGCCTTTCCGCATGCGCTTCCGTGCTTGCATGAGGCTTTTTTTTATTTATAAAAAATTTAAATTTATTTTAGAATTAAAAAAGATAATGGGTAGTTGTGTTCCATAAAAATATGATCCATTATCTGATTTTTATTTTTATTTTTATTTTTTTTAATATGAAAAAGTGTGAATTTACCATATTATCCTCATTTAATTAATAATTTCAATTCTTAATGTTTGCATTAACCAAGGGCATTTTCTAGTATTTTGAATGTTTTACCATTTTCTGCCTTTTGCTTTATATATATAGATTAATTTGCTAGTTTCACAGTAAATCAATATGGGAGTTCAATTGTTTCTTCTTCTTTTTTTGGTGTGGAAATTTCACAGTAAATCAATAGAGACTCGGGTAATGGCCCAATAGTAATGGATAATGCTCTAAATTACTCTTATCGATAAATGAAAATCGGGGAAAAAATTTAAAAGAAAAAAAGGATCCCAATATATATATATATATATATTCTCTTATCCGGATGTCCGCACGTTATTATTGTGCGGATCCTATTGTAAACAGGCAGGAAAACAGAGATGGGTAGTACAAAATACAAGGCGTCCGCACGATAATAATGTCCGGATGTCTACATAAGAGAATTTCTATATACATATACAGAGTATAGCTGCTCGGCTATACTATTTTTTTTTTAAAAGAAAAAAATAGAGTATAGCCGCGCGGCTATAGTCTTACTCGAACCAGTCTTATTCAATACTTAAATTTGGTCAAACGTAGTTTAAGTCGATCCACCAAAACGATGCTTTTTATATTCGTATATACATAGAACTTCAATTGAGTGATCTTTCAAATAAGCTTACCCTAAGATAGACATAAAAAATGAGAAATAAAAGTCAATGCACTAAGATTAGTAAAAGTAAATATCCATACAAAATCTATAGTAGCAAACAAGATTTTTGAACCAGGATCTAAAGTCCCAATTTTGTTTTACTGATAGTATCAATAGCTATTCGAGCATCGTTCATTGTTGTTTCTTCTTCTGGGGCACCATTTTCTTTACGGCTCGTGCACTTGCGAGTATCACAAGTTGAGGATGCAACTGAATCCATTTTGGTGCAGCTGTATCTACGCAACAGCGGGCTCCACCTCTATTAGAGAGTTGTTGCCCAAGTTGGTGCCCAAAGTTGGTGCCTCTAGCACCACCCCTCTTTCATGTAGCTCTCCACAACTAAGGGAATATGTCCTCTTTCTTGCTCAAGCTACATATAACGACATATGACTGGTAAGGTTAAAAAGAGTTATTCTATGAGTACATACACATAGTATAAGAGTGCTGCTATTTTGTATCACATTCTACGAAAATATATGTGGATCATGACCATCTCTATTAAAGTATATGTACGTAGTCAGTATTGTAATCAGTAAATATAGTACAAACAATATTGCTCAAAGCATAATACCATAACTGCATAATACCCATAACTACATCTATATGAATAAACGTACCTTGTGGGACCTCATGTCACCATGAGTCTGCAAAGTACTAATAAAGCGTTTACAATGTTAGGTTCATTACTAATCCATTCGAAGGAGTCTCGATCTTGTGACAATGTCTCCCATTCCAACAAGGGAAGCGGTTGCTAGCATGAAGTAGGATGTACCAAGCGCTATTGACAAATATTCGTCCATTGTTGGTGTGTACTTCTGGTAGAGCCATTTGACTTCATTCAAGTAACTTCGAACTTGAAATTCGTCTGTGAAATCAAGAAACAATCTTTATATGTAAATTAGTTTTTAATTATCAGGTGGGAATTTTAATACATAGCTTGCTATGAAGCCACTTCTCATGCAGTATGGCTAAGGAATTTTATTAAAAACAGCCCATCTATAATCACATAATGCAATCTCAAAACACATGAAGCACCTACAACGTGAACCTTAATATGTACTGATCTTTAATGTGAATCTTTATGCAATTTCAGTACAAGTACCCCTTTACGACTTAGCAAGAGTCAATCCGCAATGTTAATTAAAACAACAGTATCTCAAAAGAGACCATAAACTCACATGCATAAACAAAATTGCATAATAAGTTTAAACAGCTAAATAGTCAAAATGGTAGAATTTAATAAAACTGTCAACCAAATTAACAACCATAAATGCAAATCCCTCAATCCAGAAAACAGCAAAATGAACAACAACAAACAAACTAGTAAAATATCATAATGGGAACAAGACTCCCACTAGATTGCAGCATCAAAGCTAGGAAAAATTCCCATACTCTCAACATGTCTCAGAAAAGCTTCTGAAGGCAAAAACTTTGTGAACGGATCTGCAATCATGTCTTGAGTTCTGATATGATCAAACCTGACTAGTTTGTC